GAGGTAGTCAAGGGTAGCTTGGTGGTGACAGTATGATTAATGCAGGCATAAGAGGTCCCAGTGCAAAACTTCTGACAGGTTAAATCTGCAAGGATTCTTTTTTCCCCACTAATCCAGGAGGACAGGGATCGTGTGGATCTTGGCCGTGGTTGTAGGCCAGCAGCACTCTCTAGGAGCACATTAAACATCTTCTGACTAAATTAATGGGGGAAATGTGCCCTCTGTGAGTCCTGGGATGGAGAGGAGAGCTCTCCAGCAGTGCGCTCTGCTGCGGGGGTGTGTTCTATGTCTGTCCTCCCCCGAGTGCAGCTGGGCACAGCTACCAAGCCCTTCCACTGTGGTTAGCGTGACTAAGGAAGTGATCTTTTAAAGATTTTGTTTAATCACAATTGGCTTAAATTTAAGTGTAAATAGCCAATCTGGGTAGTGGCCACCCTAGTGGATTGTACAGGTCTAGACTGACCCACATTTCAGCAGCTAATATGTAGTAGTTCTATCTTAGCAATGGCCTTAGATGGCCCACTTGGCCATACAAGGCTGGGCAGCTGGCCTATGGCAGAGCCTCTGTGTGCAGGCGAAGCGGGCTGAGGTGAGCTCCTCCTTCCCCAGTAGGATTAACGCCAGGACAGGCTTTAGCCACACTGGTCTTGTAGAACACCTATAGATAGTTTAAATTCCTCATGCTTGGTGGTTATCAATAAAAGCCGTGAAAGGGCAAGAATGAGGAGAAAGGAGTCATTTTTGCTAAATTTAGTTGCCATGAATAATCCTTGAAGGCTGGGATGCTAGCTAGGAGGCAATTGTCAGAGAGAGAGACTGGCAGACAGACAAAGAGACCACACCATGCAGCAGCAGGAATGGAAGGGCCAGGAGATACATGGCCAAGTGACCCACAGGAGCTAGCAAATGATGGGATGTTGCAGGAAGGGGAAGAGCAAGACCCTTTGGAGGCTCTGGAAAGACTGTGGTGCCCTTAACAGAGAGAGAGGGTGAGAGGAAGTGTTGGTTTTGACAGGCAGTGATGCACTTAGCCCTGGATGTTAGGCGGTCTCCTACTGAAGTAAAGGTGCCTTTCAAGTCATCAGATGTGCTCAGCAGGAGCTCAGAGGGGAGGTCAAGAGTTCAGGCGTGTGGCTGCCATGCTGTCACAGCACACAAGCTATTTATAAGGGAAACACACGTCATCCTCACCTCCTGAGGTTTTGCGCTGGGAGCACGGGAGTCATGAAGCCAGTTGAAGGGCTTGTGATTTTGTTTGTCCCATCTGTTAATGATAAAAACTGTCCCTTCGGCCCTCACACAATTTATCTCACTGGAGCCCTTCGTTCAACACACATTTGCCACGTTCCCACTACTTGCCACATGGTTCTCAGAGGTGGGCATGGCAGGAGGCAAGACCAATCTCAACTTCAGTGCCAGCCAGTGCTGCCCAGCACCAGGGAGATGTGCCTGGACCTCACCCTGGAAGGACAGGGAAGAACACGCAACAGAGGTGACATGTAAGACCTGATTACAGGAAGTTCCTGCAAGTGTGAGGATCAGCATGGCCATTCCCATCAGAGGGCTGGCAGGAAGAGCCTGACGTGTCCATGGAGGGGGAGGGCCAATGTGCAGGGGGGATGGAGAGGAAGACAGTGGAGAAGCAGGAGGGGCCGAATGCATTGGGGTCCCAGGTGGGGTCAGTGGTTTTCACCTGCTGCCAGGTGTGTGAAGGGATTTCA